TCATAGTTATACTGAGGAAAGAACATTCAGTACAGAATAAATTTTGAATTCAGTTTGTTTGGCCTTTAATACCACTTACTATTAATATAAATGGTATCAGTGCCTGGTAGGATAGCCTGCTCCTGCACTAATTACCAGCAACAACACTTAAAAAGCATGTGGATCCAATGATCAGGGAAAATAATTGCCCTTTATAACCTCAAGGATAAGGTGCATAATAAATGCCCGTACCAATATCAGATTTTTATGGATTACTCATTACGAGTTGAAAGCCTAAATTAGAATTTCCCAAATAAATTCAAATTGTGTTCATTAGCAGATAATTTATTACCAAATAGCCTAAATCTGTTATATATACAATAAATACCACTTAAATTTTTAAATTTTGAATATTTTCTAAATTATTTGTAAGTTTGTCCATGAATTAAGAAGAAATTATTATTGTTGTAAAATTCAGTGGTTTAGATTATTTATTATATTAAATTATTATATTTATGAGGATTTTGAAAGCTTTGCTGTTGCTATTTAGAAAATGAATAAATTATTATTATAATAAAATAATTTATTTTATTCCCCCTAAATGTACATTTTAATTATCCTGCTTTAACCATGAGCGTAACACATATTTATTATTTTGTTATAATATTTTCCAAGTTAAACTGTAAGTAATAAAAAAAAAATTAACTCATTTTGATGATGATGATATTACAATTACAGAGACAGACTAGTTTCTGTTAGCTAATAGTGCCTTGAGCACTCACAGTGGATATGCACGCTATACAAATCATTAAATATTATTATCTACACTATGAGATATGTTTCAGTCATGAAAAGCTTGTGTGTGTGTGTGTGTGTAACATCTTCGTGTTTTTCCAGGGCCGGATTTAGGGGAGGGGGGGCAGCCCGGCCCCGGCCCCCACTTTTGGGAGCTAAAAAAAAAAAAAAAAAAAAAATGATAGCCCACAATGCCTCAAATGTTATTTTCGGGCGTCTAGAACACAAAAATTTCGCGGGGGAATTCCCCCGGACCCCCTAGGACATCGGCCCAAATTTCGGCCCCCCCTTTTGGACATCTCTGGATCCACTCCTGTTTTTTGTGTGCGACATATCTTAAGAAAAGGCTGCACAGACATAATTGAAAATAACAGGGAGTGAGGTATAACTCAATGAAGGGTTAATTAAATTTTGGTGATAGTCCGGAGTAGGGTGTGGATGTGAGGACCAATTAAATCGTTTTTGAGCAAACGTTCTAGTGAAGATGCTGTAGTTTAAAAACTAATCAACTGATATGAATGAAAGTTTAACCAAGTTGCAAGGAAGATATTATTAAATGTTGATGACGATCCAAATTTGGGTGTGAATTTGAGGGTCATTTAAAATGTCCAAGACCTACAGTAAGCATGGCAGAAACAAAAGATAATGAATATTTAAATTAGTGCAATTACAGTAAAAGGTACTAACTTCACTTTTTTCAGAACTGATTGGAATATTTTTAATGCATCTTTACTTTTAAACATGTGACGCTAAAAACCAAATCCTCATATTTCTATTTTCAAAATATTTCCATTTCAAGTTTCAACACCAATACATGGCAGGTTTTTTTTTTGGTCAGCTACAGTATAAGAGTAAAATGTGCCAGTGTGTTAAACCAGAGAATTAGCAGGTGTGCAGCTGACACAATGAAAAGCAATTGAAAAATGCTTGAATTTTGATGTCGATATAGGACCATTCAAAGCAAACATCTGCCTTTTCCCAGCAGTAGCTGGAAAAGCCATTGTTTTTGTTCTGATTTTTTTCCCCTATCTTTTTGCACTGGGTTTTTTCGTCCAGGACTTTGGTCACTTCCCATGCTTGGAACTTTTTCCATGATTTGTCGAAGCATAGACCATACATCAAGGATGTGCCTCCTAATATTTAGTGTCAATCTAAAGTGCGGTGTGGATGTGAGGACCAATTAATGGTCCTCACCAATTAAAGAGTTTCTGTGCACAAAGATCTTGGTGTTTTCTTCGACAGTTCTTTAACTTTTTGTAATCATATTAATTTCATTGTCTCCAAGTGTAACAAATTACTTGGTTTTCTTTGGAGACGTTGCAGACATTACGATAGGGCTTTAGTTACTTTATTCAAGTCTTTAGTTAGGTCTAATCTTGAATTTTGTTGTGTTATTTTCAATTCTATTTCTCTGCATCAGTTGACTAGGTTACAACGTGTTCAAAATAAGTTTTTTAGATTTTATTATCGCAAATATTTCTTAACACCTTTAGCTGACTGCCGTAAACTTTTTGATTTAATTTAAATGTATTAATGCAATCTACGATACCACAATACCACAATATTAATTACGTAATCCTGTTCTTTTTCAATACCGGGGGGAGAGTCAAAGTTACTAATAATGGGTTTATCAATCGTCTGCCTAAGTTATGCAATTCTTTATGTAAAACTGATTTTTCTATTGACATTTTCTGTGATTCTCTAATGTTTTTTCGTCAAAAAGTTTTGTCCAATGTTAGTAATATTTATTTCCTTATAACTTTTCATAACTTTTTATATTCACATATATATATTTAGATTTTATTATTAATCCTGTAAAGGGTGACCTTGGTCACTGTTGGACTTTGATGAAATAAAATTTAAAAAATGAGGACCATTCAAAATTAAACGTCCCAGACCAGATATTTCAAAAGTGGATCAACTGATCTGAATGAAACATATGGGAAAGTTTAACCAAGTTACAAGGAAGAAATTATTATGTGTTGGGTATGATCCAGTTTAGGGTGTAAATGTGAGGGTCATTTTAATTTCTGATATCCCAAACATAAATATCTCTCAAAAGTTTTTAATGGGTCTAAATGTACACTTTCTGTAATAGTTTGTCAAGAAACCACTTTATATAGTTTTGTTCATTGTTTTGTCATATTAATGACATAAAATAATATTATTTTGATCTCTCCAATTAACATCTCGACGAGATTTGATTGACAGAACAAACTGACTAATCAGTGAGCATTATTTTTTTACGTGATCAAAGACTCTTTCTTGGAAATTTTAATTTCCTTAGAAAGCTGGTTGTCAACGCGAAACATACGTGAGCCTAGGCCTAGATGTCTATGCTTTGTTATAGATACCCAAATTTACACGTGCAGTGCGCATCAGTGACTTGGCCTTTGCCGACAACAAGGTTGACTGAATGCGACCTTTCCCTCTTCCTTTGGGAGCGAAATATAGAGGCTTTTACAACAATTTCCCTGCCTATTTCATGAAATAGATTAACACTATGAATATATGATTCATTTGCATACCGCCTACACTGAATTCTCTTTCTTAAAGAAGGTTGATAGCAAAGAAAATGTTCGCCAACTCGGTAAGTCTAGATGCCATTGTCTAAGGTTTTCGTGACTTTGTGGGCGGGGCTTCGCGTCTTTGTCGTTATGTCAATTGTATTACCCTGTTAATTATTATTTCAATTAAAAACTTATTTCATAAAAATTTTATTTTAATTTATTTTAAAATAATTTAATTAGGGTTTTTGTGTTGTAATATTGAAATTGTAATGTTTATTCTTTGTGATGAATCAGGTCGAAAGTTATCCCACAAAGTTTTTACAACGGACAAGAAATTCATAAGAACAAGTTTTTTCACTCACCATTCAGAATTAACGAGCACAAAACCAGAAAGCAACATTATAGCCATTGAGCTGAGCAGGGTGTGTCCACCGGTTTGCTGAAATCTTTGCAATGGTTCTACAAAAAATAAAATACATACATACTTTCATCAAAAAACCAGAATTAGGAAAAGAAAAGCAACATTTATATTTACAGACATTAAATGTAAATTTTAATTCTAGAATAATTACTAGTCCATAGCAAATAAAAACATTTTAATATTATTATTACTATCATCATTATTTAATTCCAAAATTAGGTCAAATAATGAAATTTTAATGTTAATCATTAATGTAATTATTGTAAGAACAAGAATCATATAAATGTATTTTACAGTACATTAATATATATTTAGGAACGATCGCCAAATTATTCCAGAAGACAAATCTGTGTTCAGACGTGATTTCTATTGTCCTACCAAAATGCGTCTAAAAACACTGTTTGAATAGTGCATCGTTTGGACGCCAATATTCCGTTTTGGCCGATTGGATGCACTGTAAAACGCGTCCAATTATTATTAATAATTATTATTATTATTATAGACAACTCTCTAAAATGAATCATAATACGCCTGACTGCGTGCCCCAAGTACGGATTTGTTTATCTGCTAGCGAACGTCTCTTTGTACGCCGCCTGTGAGTGCAAGAACTGACAGAAGCAAGTAATAGTCGGTTGGGTAGTGGGACGTTGTTCAGTAGGCATAGTACCCATATAGTAGGTGAGACTATCGTAATATTCAGTGGTTTTTACAAATTGATGAACAAATGTAACGTTAATAAATCTGATTTTTTTAGTTATTTCTGATGTAGTTGCAGGCCACCATCAGTTTTAAGAAGTGCAATTACGCTCGTGTGCAGCTGTGGTAACATCCAGCACAGCAATTAATTGCTCTCCTTGCCATTGAAAGGGATCACATGCTAAGACCCATGCCTCCGAAAACGGTGTCCATGATCAAAGTAGATAAAATTTTGCATTATACTAAGCTAAATTATATTTACATTTTATAAAACGTTTATTAATTGAATTTACATGAACTTCATGCAAAACACATTTTTGGTGATCCGCTTCACGAGCGGATCACCTCTTGTGATTGTACGAGATCTTTTTATTCTACATTTCTCCCCATTTCTTGTTCACACGATATCTCAAAATTGCTACGAGGTATGCAGACGATTGCTTCATCGATCACTTTGGCATCGCCTGAAATAGACATGGTAAGGTTTTCAAGGTGACCAGTCATGCGTGATGTCAGCTACGCGCAATTTTGCATTTTTACATTATTGATCATATCAGCTTAACCAATTGCTATTTAGAAATCGTAATTAGTGAGCATTAACTTCAGGTCAATGTTGAATGTAATGTACCCTAATTTTACACGTGCGCTTCATAAAGTGCGCGCACGCGTGCGTCAAAATTTCAAAATGCTCGGAATCACTTTTTGACTAAATTAGAGCACGTTTCAGGCCATTTTGAGCATTTGAAAATTTTTCATAATTTTCCACTACGCGCGCGCACTTTTACTTGCGCAGTACGTATAGAAGCTAGAAATTAGGTTTTTTTACATATTTTGGGTTCCTGAAATTCGGTCATTTTATGGCCAATAGCAGTGTTGTACGTGTGCATCAAACATAGGGGCCTTTGCGCGGATTTGTGCCGATATACAGTGAAAATATGCTAAAATCAGGCCTATTTTTAATCTGTTATAGCTCCCTTAGGATGAAAGGTGACCCCCAATTTTTATTACATTCTGAAAGCACATAAATTGTAAATATGATTTTATAGATCATAATGGCTGATCGGACATTGTGACATCATCATATTGGCATCTGAATTCAAAGGAAGTGAATTACAGCTATGACGTCATTTTTGAAAATACGCATTTGAGCGTATCTCGCTTATCCTTGATCGATCGTCTTCCAACTTTGAGTATGTTATAGCTGAGACAATTCTCTTTCATATGACCTCTTTGACATTTTGATGACGTCATCATGGTCAAAAAAATTGTTTTTTCTGACCCCCCCCCCACATCTTTCTTTCCTCAAAACGTTGATGACCCCATATCATCTTAACCAATCGTCATTTCTGAATCATATCAAGTGAGCATAATCTTCAGTTCATAATTTTCCGTTCGCGCGACTTAACAATTATGTATACTTAAAATTATGCCTACTTTTAATCGGTTATACTCCTTAGGATGAATGGTAACCCCTAATTTTTATTACATTCTGAAAGCACATGAATTGTAGATATGATTTTATAGATCATTATGGCTGATCGGACATTGTGACGTCATTATATTGCTATATATTTTTAAAAAAAACTGAAATTTTATTTAGGACATCATTATTTTTCAACTTATTTGAACTTATTATCTTGCTTATTCTTGATCGATTGTCTTCCACCTGTGAGTAATAGCTGAGACAATTCTTTCAGAAGTGTCCCTATATTTTTCATTTTGATGACGTCATCATGGTAAAAAGAATGCTTTTTTGGAGCCTTCTTATCTTTCTTTCTTAAAAGATGTAAACAATTTTAAAATAGAGGGCAGCAGACTGTATTTCAACACTATCAGACTGATAGTTCGTATATTGTATAGGGAAAATTCGTGTGGCATTACCAACCAACAGGGGGTTTTAAACTAAACTTGACAAGGTTTAAATTCATGTGCCATTACCGTCGTCGGGCACGTCGTATAAGGTATTCGTACTTGTGCGTTAAAATTTTAAAATTGTTAATATCACTTATCACTTTTCAGATAATTTAAAGCACGTTTCAGGTCATTTTCAGTATTCCAAAACTTTCCATAATTTACACGCCGTACGCTCATTTCCACGCCCACAGCACATACTGAAGCTGGAAATTACGTTTCGGTTAACATGTTTTGGGTTTGTGACACTGTATTAATATCATTACCGTGCGCACGGACGTTAAGACGTATGTCGTCGCTCACATCATGAACTAACACAATTAAATTCAATTGTGTTAGTTCGTGAAATCAAAAAAGCGCATCAAAGTACGCGCTGTTGTTGTTAAGGACTTTTTGTGTGGTAAAGTATACAAAATTGCTTGCCAACCAATACGCGCTCGTTTTGACGCGCTACTGTGATTTCACGAACTAACACAATCTACTTTGATTGTGTTAGTTCCTGATGTGAGCGACGATGTGTACACATTCGTAAGTCCTTAAAAATGCTCAAAATTACTCTTTTTAAAAACTAAATAGAGCATGTTTTAGCATATAATACTTTTCAATCAGAACTGCGTGTGCTTCGTGAGGGTCAAAATACGGCGGATCACCAAACTCGTCCTCAGTGAAGAGTTCAAATCTAGTTTTAATTTAAAATTAATTATTAGCCCCAATAAAAAAAAAATTGTTAGTTTATTACCCTCACGCGCATGTATTCTATGGTACTCCAAAGAAAAAAATTAAATTTTTATTTTTTTAAATAGTTTTTCATTTTTTTAAATTATTGTTGGTACTGTACTATCTCAATCATGTTTTACTTGAATATCATCAATGCACCAGCAAACAAACCAAGGGTGATGTCTGGCTTAAGCAAAATAAAATATTTAAAAAAATCACCCTCCCCTTCCTTATCACTTTTCCACCCTATATACAGTAGGGTAATAAATTAATAAAAATGTGTTTTTAAAATTTTATTTAAAAAAAAATTGTAATAATAATAATTAATAATAAAATGTTATTTACATAGCAAAGTATGCACTTGACACTGTGACTTGTATTTTTTTAAAATAAATGTGTTGATTTTTGAAATTTAAATTTATGAGTAGAATTATTTATTGGCTTAAATGAATTTTTCCATTTAGTTGTGTATGATTTTATTTTGTTATAGTTTATTTTCTGTACTTTAAGTTATAGGCTATTGTACCAAAAAAATAACTTGACAGGTAACACACTAGGCCAAGGTATCTCAGATTCGAACGATCTCAAACTCTGCTCAAACGCCAAAGAGATACCTTATCAGAAGCTTGCCATTTGGTTACCATGACAATAGACTGAGAAATACAAAATAAGAAAGGAAAAGGAAAGAATGATAAGGAAACATAAGAAGGAAAAGGAAAGAAATGATAAGGATCCATTAAAGAATTGATATGGAAATATAAGAAAGGAAAAAGAAAAGAAAGATAAGGAAACATAAGAAGGAAAAGGAAAGAAATGATAAGGAAACAAAATAATGGAAAAGGAAAGAAAAGATAAGGAAAAACAAAAATGGAAAAGGAAAGAAATGATAAGGAAAATAAGAAAGGAAAAGGAAAGGAAAAGATAAGGTAACATCAGAATGAAAAATGAAAGAAAGTTGTGTGAACATAAGAAAAGGAAAGGAAATGGGGATTGGGAAATACAGGCAAGGGCTGTGAGGAAAGGATAGACATGACAAGCCAAACACATAAGAAAAATTTAAACTGTGAAATAGTTGAATGTATAAGAATTCAATAATAAATTGGAAAGTAACCAAATGGAATGAGAAGGTAATTCAAAGAAAAAATGAAATAAATAAATAAATAAAAATAAATAAATTAATAAATTAATAAATAAAATAAATTAAAATAAATAAATATTCATTCATAATGATAACCTGATTTCCCTCACTGTTGTATCATTTTTCTTTTATTTTGATCCGGTTTTTCCTTTCATTGTAAAGCGCTTAGAGGTTTCTTGCATTTTGCGCTACTGTATATAAGAATAAATTTATTATTATTATTAAACATGTGTGGCAGTGTGTGGTGAGCCTTTTTGACATAGCAAATATGCATGTACTACTAATACGTTAATAATAGTTCATTCAAAAAATAAAACAACAATTAATAAACATTATATTTTGTAGTAAGTATATCTATTACCACGTGGACATAATATTTATATAAATTAGAAAGCAAGTTTAAGAAAACAAATTACGCCACATGGTCGACCTTTCACCTAGTGCCACTGGTGCGTGATTGTTTTTGTTTTTTTTGGATGAGGGCCAACTTTCACTGCCTAGACTTGAGCAATGGGAATGTCTGAAGTTGTTGATGTTTATTTAGAAATAGAACACATAAAAACCTATGTCATCAAGAGTATACATGGAACACAATTAATAAACTGTGTTTTAAAAGGTTAAATAGAAAGAGTGATGTAGGCACAATGAATTTAAAAGGTAGGAACTAGTCAGGTAAACTTGTTTTCTGAATGAAGCTGTAACAAGGCCGTTACAGCTTATTGCAGTGGGGAGAACACTGATTATGACAAGTTATTGTCCTGGTTATTGTCTTTATCTAAATTTTACTAGTCAACTTAAATATACATCTCTCGATTCAGAGGACCTACATTAGAACTTATAGAAAGAAAATGCACTGCTGCATAGTATACACAGTAGAGAGTAGCCTCAGAAAATAGTGAGTAACCAGCCATGCACGAGGATAAAAAGATAGGCAGACTACCTACCTAGGCCTAGATATGATTTTATATTTAGGCCAGAATGTAACGCCGACTATACCAAGGCACTTAAAGTATATTTGAAGTATGTTTGTGATTTGTAATGCTAATGAACCTGGCCGCCTTCACTTAAGCAAAGAAAACGTCAGAGTGATTTTTAGAGTCTCGATGTATTCTATCTAAAGAGCAGCATACAAAGCGAATTCCAATGGAACTCGCTTAGTGCATACCGCACCCTGGACCTCCAGGCATGTTGTCATCATGTAATTTAAAAATCTCATTACAGCTTCATATATAAGCATAAAGAAAACTTGTACATACAGTATAAGAAAGAATAGGAGCTGCATAATATTACATTATTTGAAACACCAGTATTTCTACACACTCAATTGGGCCAGTTGACCGTGCTAGTAGTAGTAGTAAACAATAGAAAATTGTTCGAACGATCAACGAGCGCCAAACGATTCACTGTCGTCAAGACGCGAGCTGTAATTCAAGCTTTTAGCAAATGAATATTCATATAAGCGTGGTAATTAGAATTGTTGATTTCTTTATAGACGCGTTCGTAATAGTGTGTTGACCTATACACGTTTTTGCCATCTGGAATAATTTGGCGATCGTGCCTAACTGTTAATGCACAATTCTGAATTGCTTGCACATTATCTCCTTACATTTTAGATGTATTCACTGTGCAATTAAAATATTCATACCAAGGACTCTTTTCTTGCCCATATTCCTGACTGTAAAATAAGGCCTGCATGGGCGAATAAATTGACCCTAGAAATCCACCCACATATTTTGGAAAATAAAGGCAATTTTTGTTGAAAATCAGGTACTGTATTGGCTTATAAGACGATAATTTTTTAATATCTTGTTTAGCACATCTAATTTTTTTAGTGTTTAGCAGCGGGTGGGCAAAATTATCCTGCCAAAAGTAACAGAGTAGAGGAGGGAAAAAAAATCATCATAATTTCTTTAAGTATTATTTCATATTCTAGACCTCCCAGCCTTGCAAGCACCACGTAACAGCAGTACACATCGCTCGCTAGACTCAACACACATTCATTATTTGCCATAAAGCATACCATTCTAGGTTGTGATTAGTTTTTTTTTAATTATTGTTTTATTTTATAAATAAAAAACAATAATTGGAAATAATTTATTTTTTAAATTTTTTTTCATAATTTCACAATACTAAATAATAAGTTATTTAGAAGCATTTTTTTTATTATCTTTCAATTGGTATCAATCATTATTGTATTATTCCTTCAGAAAAAATGATATTTCTGTTTAAAAACCATATTTCTGACACTGAAAAAAAATTCAAAATCATTTCAAAGGATCTGGGGGTCAGTGGGTTAACAAATGATCCAACTAAATAATAACAATCCGTTTCATGAATGCACAATTAATATTTCAGTGTAGGCCAGGTAGTGTTAATGTCCATTCCTACTATGTCCGAGGTTCACCTTGATTTTACAGTTTTTAGCCCACTCCCTGAGGGAGAGGGCTTGTACTATGATTTTGAGCGAATTTTCTATCAGGGCCTTCATTTGTGACGTGATTTTTATTGTTCATTTTTATTTTTATTGTTTTATTTTATAAATATTTTTTGATAAAGAAATTTAAAAATAAATTATTGAATCCTGAGTCAGTAGTCAGAATACAAACACATCTCCACATCAGCACAAATTATTCCTTTACAAAATAAATCTAAACTTGAATTTATTGACGAAGAAATTTGGAAGATAAAAATAATATAAAATTTTACATCGAAGGGGGCCTAGGCCGAATCCCCTAGGCGCCTCACCACGTTCAGTCACCCATTGCCCACTATGCACCGTACCGTGAATAGTCCTACTACCTCGTGAGGTAAAATCCATAATTCATTCATGCAGGCCTAGGGGTCAATTGGTTAAGAAGGTTAGTGATATATAAGTAACTTATGTGTTGGTCTGATTATGAACTTACTTTAAAATGTTCACTGGCCTATCCAAGTGGTAGAAGGTTACAACGTGCATGACTTGCTGTGGTGAAACGCACATGTGCATGCTATCTAGAAGTTGCTCTTGCTGTGGTGTCATTTCAGCAGTTTCCTGATTTTAGTAGTTTCAAGTGTCTGACAATGAATATTCATTACCATCATAATACATCATTGTGATGAGACAATAGTCTGGTGAATTATGCAAATGAGTCAACTAGCAAACAGCCTATAACACAAAAATGATATTAGATTTAACCAACAAATATTAAGACTTACATTAATTTAAAAAAAAATGGCAAAAGTAAATGTGTAATATTAATTTAAATTAATTCTCCCTTAAATAACATTATTTCATAGGGTTTGTATATTTATATATATTCAACACCAACATCAGTTGAATAAAACTTGACTATAACACATCCCAATGTAATTCTCTTCAACCTTCTCGTACAGCATTCTGATAGCATGGACAATTATACCTCCATACAATCAGATTGAAGTTTCATGATATTGGGTAAACATCATTTATAATGATGTTGTATTGTTGGGCCGCGAGCAGTTTTGCAAAAAATAATTTAGTTTATGTGGTCATTTTCAGATAGTTGATGTGAAATTACTGGTGTTATATATTGTCAGTGCTGTTTTGTAACTGTTGTATGGGTCGAACCTCTCCTGCGTGAGAGTATTCCTCTGTTATAAAAGGGAGAACTAATAAATCTTATCTTACTATCGCTATACTGTCATAATTATTGGTTAATAAACTTAATTAGAAACCATAAACTTTTAACCTATGATTAAGAGCTTCGTACAGTAATTGATCATTGTTAAAAGTTGAGGAACTTCTACACCCCTAAATAATACGTACACCTGTATGATTTCAAAATCGTTGAGGCCAGTATCCACAGGAATGACTATCTATAAACCATTTTCAAGAAATTTGAAATGAAAATTTCTGGCTACCTGGCAACTACCATGGGGGACTTTCAGAGGCCTAGCATTTCGCTCTACGTACTAACCATCATGGTTAAATCAATGATAAATCTAAATTACTAACGAGCACAAATACTTTAAAATGGAAAAAACATGAAATGTTTATAATTAAAAAAACTGGTTTATAAATGAAAAAATTCTAAGTATTAAATTTCAATGTTTACATACAGTAATTATCAAGATCGTATCTGTTGTCTACGGCTGCTATATAGCAAAGGTCTAGCGGTGCTATCCGTTGCGCAGTGGTCAATTTGTAATATACAGTAGACAGCTGCAGCTTTAAAGGCTAGGCCGCTGGAAGTCCCCCAGTGAGTTGCGAGACGTTGGCGGCGCTGTTTCAAAATATACCCGATAATATAGTGTATAAATTAATCAACATTATTAACTTTTAATTAGAGCGTAGGCCCTACTAGGTCGGTGTTCGATCACTTCGGCTGCCCCTCATTTTGGCCACCATTCATTTTGGCCGCCGCGCCAATTGTATGGAACGTCAAAGAGGCCGCCGAATACAAACAGCCGCCAATGAGAAGAATGTAGTCATATAACAGCTGGATACGTTAGTAACAAAGAGGAGAAAATATATAAGCCTAGACCTACAGTGAATAATTAAGAATTTATTTTTACCGTTGAGTAATGGTGAGTTACATGAGAAAATATTTTGCACATCTTGCGTCTTGTGTTTTAAAATACTTTAATTTCTTTCTGAAATTCGAAATCATTATTGGCGGGCACTATATTTTTTATTCATGTCATCAAAGTTGCAGAGGTGTACCGGTACATAAAACACAAGGCGCAAATTGTGTAAAATATTTTCTCATTTTATTCACCAATGCTCAACCACCGACTAACGAAATAACTAACTGTATAATACTATGAATGAAAAATCCTACATGTAAAGCTATACATTTCATCATTATTTATTTTCACAATATTATTCAAATTCAAATAACTTTCAAAGCTGCTTTGGGTTACAAAGGAAAATCTGGGTGTTGTTTATAAAAAAATGTATTTTATATTTACTTGACCAAATTCAAGAACGCTATCCCCTGTTGCTAGGTTAGGTATTCAGCTATACTTGTGGAACAAGGAATGTCTCCGCGCTGTCAGCGTCTCAGCGCGTCGGTAAACTTTGAAGGTGAATTTCTCGAAAACTTTTTTACGGTTTCTCCCAAACGGGTATATTTAAACTTCTATAACTTCATAACGAAAAGTCTGATTGCATTTATTTTTCCACCATTGTAAAGCGAATACATTACTAAATAATAGTATTGTATTTTCTCAAAATCAGAATTTCCGACAAGCAACTGATTCGGCTTGACCACGCCACATTGTATTATTAACACACATTCTACTGGATCTTTAAAAAATTGTAGTTTTAATATATTCTTGTTTTAATAGTACGTTATGTTTTTATACCGGTAAATAAATTCTTAATTTAAATTCACTGTAGGCCTAGGCTTACAATTTTACATATTTTCTCCTTTTTGTTACTGACGTATCCAGCTATTGTATGACTACGTTCATCTCATTGGCGGCTGTTGTGTATTCGGCGGCATTTTTGGCGTTCCATACATTTGGCGAGGCGGCCGAAATGATCGAACACCACCTAGCCTAACCTAGGCCTAGGCTAAACTAGGCCTACCCTAGGTTACATGTAATGTAGGCCTAGCAGCAACAGCTGTAATTTTGTTGAAAAATTGTTGAAATGTGTTGAAGTTTACTTACAGATTGTTTAGCAAATCTTGTAGTAAAGATTGCTTTGCTTGTCCAACAGTCAGAAATAGAGTAGGCCTAGTAGCCACAACTAAAGAGATATTCTACTGTGACTTTCAGAGAAAAAAACCGAAGAAAGCGCATCCATATTCACTTTGCGAGCGCCCTCATAGTCCATATTCACCCTGCGAGCGCCCTCATTGTCTGGGTGCAGTAGGAACCAAAGATCTTGTTTATAAGATCTTTGGTAGGAACTTAGTGGTAGTTGCTGGCGTTTTGGCGCGCCATAGGTACTGCTGTTTGACATAGAGGTCGCTGTTTACCACGAAAGCGTCAAGCTGAGCCTTGTGAGGGTGGTAGAGTACTGTCAGTAGTAGGCTGGGTTGATGAAAATAATGGATAAATTAGTATTAATTTCCGCAGTACTGTTCGTAGTAGCCGACGTGTTTGCAATTGCAAGTTTAGTTAATCCAGAATGGGTTATTTCCGAAGATTATGGTTAGTGAATGACTCAGAATTTGCTGTTAATGTTATCACATCAAGGAAGGGGCTTCTGCGTGGTAGGCCTAGCTAGAAGTAGGCTTACTAGGCCTATGCCCTACTAGTACTAGGCCTATAGCCTAGCCTATGCCTCCCTCGCAGCCTGGGTATATGTTAGAGAGCATGCTAGGTTAGGCCTAGCCAACTGTACTAGGGCCAGGCCTAGGCAGGCCTTCCTAGGAGGGTCTAGTTTAGTGGCCGAAGACAGACGCCTAGAGAGGCTAGGCCTAGCCCTAGGTAGGTAGGGAGGCAACTTACCAGGACTAGCCTAGGACGGTGAAACTTCAAATTGTATTGTATTTTATATCAAATTGCAATAAATAAAGTACCGTAGGCCTAGGCCCTGTGTATTACTATTAGTATTTCGTATGTATTTTGTTTGTAGTTACGAGATCATAGGCCTCCATATTGTGAAGTTATTTAATTGCGCAGATACCTAAAAAACCAGCTCAAATTTGCGTGGAAAATCGCTAGGAAAATACAGTAAGTGCACTTAATCGTAATTACTGCATATACATTGGTTATGCTTATATATTAAAGTTAGACCTACTAGGTCAAAGCATAATTTTCAACAAAATGTGCTTGGAAATCAGCCCTTACTTTCCAAAATGCGCAGTTTGAAGAAGTAGTCTCGACAAGAATAAAAAAGCCCATCTCAAAAAGAAGCACATTTTGTAATCAAGATAATAATATAGGCTTCTTTCGAGATAGTACATGTAGACTGTACTGACGTTATCTTTGATGATTACGATAGCGTGTCAATGTCAATAGCATAATAAAAAATATTCCATAGTTGAAAATTGTTGTGCACATTAGTAGCAATTCCAAAATTTCATTTATTTTATAAAGAAGCCCCTATTTTTAGTAGCAAAAAAGTATTTTTGAAAAGAAGCACTTCTCGAAAAGAGGCCCATCTCGAAAAGAGGCCCATCCAAGAGTCCTGAAAAAAAAAAGAAGCCCAAGGCTTCTATTTGAGGTTTTACGGTATAAGGGTCTTTGATTTTGTTAATTCAATTATAATATTATTCTCACAACATAATTAATGCATGTGCCACATTGTACGATTGTTTAGGCCCTATGTGCAGAAGCACCATCATGTCAAACAATAAACACAGAAAAACTTGTTCTATTTGGTTGTCGTTACACACAGAAAATTTGCATCCCTGAGTTTTATTTCATATATGGTACACTGTGTTTTTATCTTAATGCTGATACATGATTTTTTGTCAAAGTTACAACCCACAAGTGGGTCACGATGCATTTGTTTAACGATTATTGAATTAGAACATACAAAAATTAGGCAAAATGCAATTAGCATGTTTTGTTTC